GAAAGAAAGAAAGAAAGAAAGAAAGAAAGAAAGAAAGAAAGAAAGAAGAAAAAGAATTCATCTCAAAAACCAATCCTGTAGAAAGTTATGATAATTTTGACATGGCTGCTTTTTTTTGTTTCATTAATATATAGATTATTGCGAGCCACTGGATGGCTTGTCACCATTTTCTAATTTTTTATTTTTTAAGGAAAAAATTCGGAGAGCAATTAAGTTGACTGAAGACATACACACCTCTGCAGATAAGTCTGTGGCGAATAATATCCCTGTCTACATCTCTGGGTGGAGGCTGGATGGTTTGAAAGGGAAAATCCATTTATTAAATAAAATCTTATATAATTTTACTAGAAAGCAGAAAGTAGCAGCCTTCTGAAACTTCTGAAAGAAATCTACTGTAGTCCACTGAATATAATTTCAGAGAATTTTTTTAAAAAAAACCCTAATTAATAGCCCCTTTCCTCTTTCACCCAAAATATATGTATTTATATTTATCTGAGCTGGGGTTCTGTTTTAATATTTTATACTATTATTTTAGGCTATGGTTCTCAGCCTCAGCTAAGATGGGAATTCTGATAATGGTAGCCTAATGCATCTGGAACATTTGATACAGCAATAAATAAAAGATAAATTAATAATTTTGTAAGCCCATAGAGAAATAGTTTATTACACAGTCAGTGTTAAATCCAGACCATGTTTATATGTTTTGCTATCTCAGTCCAGACTCAGAAATTGTGGAGAAAATGTTTCCTATCCAATATGTACATTTGCAACAATATAGTTATATAAACCACTTATACAGGTGGTCCTTGACTTACAGTGACAATGGAACCCAAACTTTCTGTTGCTAAGTGAGACAGCTGTTAAGGGACTTTTGCCCCATTTTACAACCTTTCTTGCCACAGTTGTTAAGTAGACTTTGCCTGTTCGAAGATTGCAAAAAGGGATCACATGACCGTCATAAATACCTGGCAGTGGCCAAACATCTGAATTTTGATCACATGACTAGGGAGATGCTGCTGCCATGGCCGTAAGTGTGAAAAACGGTTATAAGTCACTTTTTTTGCAGTTCTATTTGGTCACTATACAAACTTCTGTATGCCAAGGAATAGGTGTATAAACCACCTAGTCGTGTGGTGAGATACATTTCAACAAGATGGCACCACTGAGCATTGAAAGTTTCATTTCCTCGATAGCTCTCATGATTTCAAAATAGGGAGACATGAGAAATCAGGTGATTCTGAACCTTTGTTCCCAACCATAGTAGAAGCAGATGAGATGACTCTGTGGTTTCTTCCCCCAACCCCCAAAACTTGAACTTAAGACTGTCTACTGTTGACCTCACCCCATTCCTAAGAGGTCTGTAAGGGGGCGTACATAAGCGCACCAGCATGCCTACCATCCCTGTCCTAATATTCCCTTTTTAATTCATATCCATTTCATGTATTTATAATCATGTTTATACTTATACATGTTATCTAATACATGCTTGACAAAATAAATAAATAAATAAATAAATAGATGGTAAGGTGGAAAGTGTGGAGCAAGGGTCTTCAAAATTGGCAAGTTTAAGACTTGTGGACTTAAATTCCCAGAATTCCTGAGCTAACATGACTGGAAGAGGAATTCTGGGAGTTGAATTCCTGTCAAGTTTGAAGAGCCCTGCTCTAGAGTTTCTACCTTCTCCCAGATACCCACTGAGGTCTTACCAACCTGGATCTCCTCCAACTTTGAGGTAGTGACTTGGAAGTTCTTGATGCCACCACTTAGGTCTAGGAGACAACTCCCTCCTCGTCTTCTCTCTAACTCCATCGTATGTGACAGACAGGGGTTTCAAAACTGTATGGTGCCTTTCTGCCAATTAAAAAAAGAACATAAACTAGAATTTTAATAATGCTGCCTCCTGGCCATGCAGACATATGCAACCAGATGTTTTAGCCATTTTTCCTGTCCTTGGGAAATAGACCGATTTCACTAGGGATAAGTGAAATCAGCCTTCATTTAAAAAGAGAATATATAAAAGCCCTGATTTTTGTTTCAAATAAAATGCACTATTGCAGCAGAGGATGATTCTGGTCGGGGACAAATAAGTGCCTTCCCCTCTGAGACAGAAAATTTGTAGACCAAGGGTCTTCAAAGTTTAAGTCCTGTGGACTTCAACTCCCAGAATTTCTGAGCTAACATGACTGGAGGAGGGATTCTGGGAGTTGAAGTCCACAAGTCTTAAAGCTGTCACGCTTGAAGACCCCTGTTGTAGACCATCAGATGATTATAAATAAAATTAATCTTTTCCTGTCCAGCAAGGGGGGGTGGGATCAGAATGCAAGGCTTGAGCTACATAAAAAAATTCTTAATCTATATAGAGAAATGAAAACATTATACAATATAGAAATATATAATCCTAAATTTCTGGTTAGACTTGTTATCATTACTTTGGAACTAAAATTCTCTTCAAGAAAATATGATTCCTCCCTCTCTCAGTTTCTTGGATTTCTGTTAGATCTCTGGTCAGTCCATTTCTTTAACAGTAATTTTATTAAAGATTGCAATTGCAACAATACAAACTAATATAAGATTTTAAAAGAATAGAATAAAAAGAATAAAAATGTAGAAGGTGCAAACAAAAATCAGGAAAAAAAGAATATAGTAAAGAGAAGAAAGCTATATAAAGAAATGGACTTTCCCCTTGATCACCAGGATAAACCATTTTAGTAACTTACCACCTTCTGTTAAAATGCAACAAAAAACCCTTTCTTCCCATATCTCATCTCTTAGGTATAAACAATTCCTTAAAGTATCTTAGTGTTGATGATTGACTAGATAAATAGATAGATAGATAGATAGATAGATAGATAGATAGATAGGCGGGCAGGCAGGCAGGCAGCTCCTTTTCTGCTATTTCCTCCATCATTTTATATTATAACCTGAGCATTTTTTTCAAGACTCTGACCCAGCACTAGAGCTGCTCCTTCAAAGGGGAGGAAGAGACTCAATGGGGCCAGTGAAACAACATATCATCTCTGAGATCTCCTATCATGGCTCATTGTCATTCAAACATGAAACGGATCAAGCCAAGTATTGCCCTAAGACTGAAGAGTGTCCAATGTCTGTCTAACATGATTTGAACATCCTTTGTCAAGGGTATCTGGACAAAGTGTTTGCATCATCATCATCATCATCTCCCAACAGTCTCAGGGAATTTATATGATTGGGCTTCATCCCTCGCCAACTGCCCAATTTGCCATTAACAAAGTGAATCTGTTTCACTGCAACTCAACCGTTCCTGGAAGACCATTTTCATGTTAGGACACTCGGACATCTCATCAGGCAGCAGTCAAGCAGATGAAAGCATGGAAGGGTCTGGATATTACAACTTGGGAGTCTGCAAAGATGCAGAGATGTACAGTCGGATGAGCGTCCTTGCAAAAAAAATAATAATAATGCACATTATGCCTTGCTGGAACAAAGCCATAATATACATTCTTCAAAGTCCCTTTTGGAGGAATAAAAATCCTACAAGGAAATCCCACTTTTCAGACAAAGAAAAGTGGGGATCGTGTCAGATCATTCCAAGCTAGAGAAAAAGCTAATGGTGCTCAAACATTCAGGGGCCAATGTCTCGTCCATCTCAAGGTAAACGGGAATATTTGCAATGCATAAGAAGTACAGCAGGAGAAGTTTGTTCATCCTTCAAATTCCACTGGTGCTAAGATTCTGCCCTCCTGAATGATCACGATTAGAAGCAAAAAGGTTGGTTCTGATGTAAGTTGTTAGACATTTAGTCTGTACAAGTAATAAATAGTACAGTGGTGAGTTTGCAGCTATACTTAGACCTCTGAGGGGTTCAGGGATGTGTGTTAAAGCATCCATTTTGTTATTTGCTAGCCTAAATCCCAAAGGTGCTTTTTTTTTTCAAGAGGCAACTGAACTTTCTGGTTTTTCTTTAAAGGCGTTTCGCTTCTCATCCAAGAAGCTTCTTCTTTTACAAGAGGCAACTGGACTTTCTTCAGCTCAAAGTTGAAGAAGCTTCTTGGATGAGAAGTAAAACATCTTCACAGACAAACCAGAAAGTCCAGTTGCCTCTTGAAAGAGCACCTTTGGGACAACCAGGACCTGGATGACTGAGAATCTCCATAGATATTGTTAGCTTAAGGCAGTGGTAATCAACCTGGTCCCTACTGCCCACTTGTGGGCATTCCAGCTTTCATGGTGGGTGGTAGGGGTTTTGTCCCCTACTTTATGAATCACCATTACTGTGGAACCGGTGGGCAGCTAGAGAAAACTTTACTACTAACAGAGATACAAAAGTGGGCGGTTAGGTATAAAAAGGTTGACTACCCCTGGCCTAAGGTAACAAACACGCTCCAAATAGAGTTTGTGTAGACGCTATTTACTTGTGCATCCAGCAGAGTGCCGGTATTTTGTGCCGTTGATTTCAATGTCACAAACTGGGACCCTCAGTGATTCAGTATCTAGTTCCGAGTTGTATAAATGTGGCTTTGGTATTAAGATCATTAGAATAGTTGTCTGGATTCACACAACAGACTTAACTAAAGCAAAAGCATTCTTACAACATGCAAAGTCCTGGTGGTGTTATCTTTTTTTTTTCCTGGAAACTCAATGTTATTTAGTAAATCTCTATATATAAAAGTGAAATACCAACTCACGCATCATCACAAAATCTCCAGAACTGTAAAGCCTACAAACTTGAAATTTGGCACGTATGTTCCTCTTGGCTTCTAGGTGCTCACTAAGAAAGGATTTTTCAAAATGACCATCAGACCATTAGTATTTCCTATATTATTATTATTAACACACTCTGATGCTAAGGAGTTCT